ATAGATACACATAATTTTATTTGCATCTTTTGTATATCATATATGTGTATATTAATATACATAATTTAAAATCTCTACCTTCAATGATACATGTTATTATTATTGTGTAGAAAATTATAGAATTCTTTAGTTTTCATTATTTTGTGACTTTTCGTACCATCTTGATTTAGGTTCCTTTTGTTTGTTTTCATCTCTCCTTGTTTCAGAAAAGACTTAAGATAATTTCAGTTCACTTTCTTCCAAGCAATTATAATATGTAGTTGAAAGCAAATCTCCTGAAATTCATACTACATGTTTTTTTTTCTTTTTATATGAGACCTTTGCTTTATAAACAAGAAGTAGGTTCTAACACACGGGAATGGTACACTAGAGATTTCTGTTGTAACAAAAAAGCCCTTTGGAACATAAATAGTAATGCTCCTTTTACTTACTGTCCTTTGTAAGAGCATTTTTCAAAAATATGTTTGAGCCTCCCAGTCTGTGTACTCTTTGAGGGTAGACCTTCAGTTTTGTTGCTCAATATTCCCTCAGTGTCCAGAACTGTTCTTGGCCCGCTGTATTTGCTAGATGAGCACTTGTGAAGTTGAACTGAATAAAATGAAATCAATTCCAAGTATTCTAATGCTACTGTGTAGGTTGCATTAGGTTTTCAAAAGCATTGACCTAAGAATCAGCATGGGTAAGAGCTGATTGATGACTAAGTGAAATACCCTTGGTCTAACTCTCATAGTACTTGAGCTCACAATAGTAAATGCTAAACGGATGCTAGATTTTAGTGATTTTTTTTTTTTACTATAAATGTTTTTTTCCTTCTAAATAACTCATTTTTTTCCCTGAAGGCTTTCAGTTAGATTGTTCAAAACAGGAACAAGCCATTTCTTTAGAGATTATATATAAACTCTCTTAAAAACTTGGTAGGGGGACTATAAAATTTACTATACAACAGATTTATATATAATTATTATTTTATATTGCTTGAAATTAACCTAACACTCTGATGAGTTATTTATTCATGACGTTTAATAGGAACATACTTGAAAATAAGGAGTGCTATAGAACCATAAATATAATTTATAGCTCTTTTAATGGCAGCTTTACTACTAAGTTGCTCAAGCATGCAGTAAGTATTAAATGAACCTCTCTAATGAATGAGCAATTGGAGGCATCAACTTATGAAGCCTGATTTTTTCCTTGCATGTGGAAGACAGGTAAGGATGCCCAAATTATTGCTGCTCATCTACACTTCAAGCTGTTTCACAGTTTCTTAGGGAATTTGCATCAGCCACATCAAGCCACGTGCACGAACAAGTCCAGGACTGTGAAGTCAGAATGCAGGCTCTGAGCAATTGCGTTCTTCATTCCCATGACCCATAATGTGAGTCACAGGTGCAACTTTACATTTTCTAGTGGCCACACTAGAAAAGTACAAGGAAATAGGTGAAATTAATTTTATTGAACTATATTTAGTAATGTTTATATGTATATTTGTGCTTATTAGTTTTATTTAACTCAAGATATTGAAAATATTATTTCAACATGCTATCAATGCACAAAGTATTAATGAGGTAGTCTACAGTCTGTTTTTCATTCTCTCTCAGACCCAGAGTCTGAGAAATCTGGTGTGTATTTTACACTCACGGCACATCTTAATTAAAACTAGCTACATTTCCCGTGCTCAATACCCATGTGTGGTTAGTGGCTACCATATTGACCATTGCAGCTAAGTCATTCGTGCTTTACCACCGTTGGAAGGGCCAGAGGGTGGCTATATGGTGTAGGGGAAAGACAAAGACCAGCTCGGAATTGTAGAATATGTCTGTTCCTGGTGCTGACGTTTGATATTGATGTGACTATGAAAAAGCAATTTCGTTTCTCTGGTCTCAAATTCCTACTCTTTATAATGGGAGTTGGTAGTAACCGCCATACTCCCCTCAGGAAGCTGTGGGGAAAATTAAATAAGATATTGTATGTGAAAGTGCTCTGTTAGATCATAAAGTACCATACACATGTAAGAGATTATTGCCTCTTTTATTTTAGATTTACTCTCATGACTCGCCCAAGGCCACATTCCAAGTTAGTAGGAGAAGCAAGGATAGAAGCTGAAACTTCTGATTTCCAGCCATCTGCTGTAGCTAATGGGTGTTTATACCAAGCTAGTTTTAAAATAATATTTTATTTTTGTCTTTTTATTTTAAAAAGTCAAGGGAGGAGGAGAGTGGCATTAAAAAAAAAAAAAAAGGAAATTCCATGTTGAAGAGTTAGGGTCTTCTTGGCCACAGTCACAATGGGCTACAGTAAAATTATACATATAGGATATTTATGTATTTATATACTCAGAATTACAACCATCAAAGATTGAACTTTATTGCTACCATATAATACAAAGCCCTGTGTTCTTCAAAGTTTCAGACAACTTCCAAGTTGAACTGTGGTTTCTCCACTCTATTTATCTCCAAAATATAGTACAACCACAAGAAAGCCCTTTCGTAGAGGACTTGATTAATAAAACAGATACAGATCAACTCAACAGGTTTTCCAGGGATAATTTTGGCTACAGATGTAGCTCATTAATCCCCATGTGTGAGACACCACCTCCCTAGTGTGAATCCAAGAGACACATTAATGTCTGAACAGAAAGTGGGAATAATTCAGGTCAACCCATATTATTTAGTGGTTACTAGGTGTAAGACACATCAGGCATTTGAACGAGCAGAAGAAATTTGTTTCTATGATAAGGGTCACTTAGAGATATATGTTATTTAACTTGAGGAGAATATGGAGTCAATCTACCTACCTGTCTACCCTACATGATTTGGAAATCTATATTTTTGGAAGGTAAAAAGATGATAGGAAAGAAAATTCTATATTAATAAAAATATTTTTAAAAGTTACGTTCTGTGCTTGTGGAGGGTGAGTCATCAAGATGCATTCTCTAACTGTATGCCCATCACCATCATGGAATTCATAATTTAATTTTTGGATATTTTCTACATTTGTTTCACATGATTTTTTTCATGGAATGTAAAAACTATGTAAAATAACTAGAGTTTTATACTAAAAAATAAAACAAGCTGAGTTCATTTTCACCAGGGAAAAGACATACATTCAAAAATTTCTTTGCTCTTTTTTCAGTCAAAATTCTTTTTTAAAAATAACTTTTAACTGTTTTTTTTCATTAGAAAATTATTATATATAAGCTTCAGGTCTGCCTGAATTGATAACTATGTTTGATAAATATAATTTTTATTTTCACTTACTGAATCATTGCTGTTGACCATTAAATGAAATCGTTTATTGAGTAACCTTTACGTTTTATTGCTTTTGCACCCTAGTTTAAAAACAAAGAGCTTAGATTCCTAAACGTCCAATAAAATATATTTTTGATATTTCCACCATAACTTTACAAGCAGTTTCTCTCTTCTGTCCTGTAATAACCACCTTCTGCATTTTTATGATTTAGTTTAACATTATTATTGTACTTTTTTACTGGGCAAACCCATCAATGCCCTTGGCAGTAAGATTTTGTTACAAGGAATCCAGCAGCTGAGGCTGCCGTTGGTTGCAACAATTATAAAGTTTCTCTGAATTGAGTTCAGGGCCTGACATTATGAATGTCTTCCACATCATGCCTCTTTCCTCGGCTTCTCTGAAATCTGTGATTAGCGTGAGTCCTATAACTTGCTGCTTAAATGAGTGTGTATTTTTTTTTATTCAGTGGGTTTGCATTATAAATATTTCATATGGAGAACATCTGACTTTAATGGAATCCAGCCAAAATAATTAGTGGCACCTATATTAAAAATGTAATACCTTAGAAAAACCATTAATGTATTTGTCTTTCTCCAAAAACTCTGAATGGATTCATTTGAGACAGGATGTGGAGACAGGATGTGGTCACGTGGCATTCACTATAGGACTGGATGCTGGGTTTTCTTTTTGTTCAGGTGGGCCCCCAGTAAGAACAGGAAAAAAAAAAACCTGAGGAATTTTAACAATTCATTCTTTCAATTATGATGACAATTAATTAGACTATAGAAACCATTGTACTATTATATACTAGGAAATATTGAGTCGTGTATCCAAAAGTCACACTTAACACCAGGCGATGGTTATAAGCATAGGATGGCAGTGGATACTATGAGATAATGTCTACTTGTCAGAAATGGATGGTATGTTGTGCTTTTTTTCCCTCATCAAAGTTTGAAAGTTAATGATGTACTTTATGTTTTTATTGCTTCTACTGAGCTATCAGTTAGGGGATAAAAGGGATTCTGGCATGCTGTTATTATTATTATTATTAAACTGTGAATACATTCAATGCCACATATGAGTAAAACCATATTTGTCATATCATGCTCTGTTTCATACATCCTAGATTGATTTTAGGATAATTTAGTACATATCAATTCAGTCATCTGAAAGGAATCATTTCTTCATTACAGTTCATAACTTAAAACTATAAAATATCAGCCAGAAAAAAAATTGGCCCAATTAAGGGAAATATGATAATGGTAGAAAAACACATATAGACACGACTGGGAGATGATAAGATTATTTTAATTTTCCCATTTGCACTGGAATTATTTATTTTACAAATCTCCAGATCTTTTATTACTTAAAGCCCTCTGCTGAATCATGAAAAGAAGCTTAAGTTAGCAATTTTCCTCTGCAAATTCTAGCTGCTAGCATCTGGTGAACATTTGGATACCTAGTCAAGTTCTATGGAAATGATTATTTTAAGACTCTATTCAACATGCCTGGACTTAAAAATCAGCTAGGATCACACTCTGCACATGTATTTTACTATAGGGGATTTAAAAACCTGCTATTAGTAGCGATGGTCTCAAGGCTTTTTCAACGATGGAGATGGGGATGAGAGATAGGACACACAGGCTGGACACCTGTGTGCTAACTGTCTTTGTGTTCAGGGACAGCGACTTGCTGCTTCACCTGGGACCACCCGGAGCCCTTCCTTACCCTCCATTACTCCTCACACTTACATTTAGACTTGACTGGCCAGCAGAATCGAGGACCAGTGTCCTTGCCTGTGTCTTCCTGTGGCGGCCCTTGGGCTGGCTTCTGTCTCTTCACCTGACGCTGCTCTATTTCCAGAACAACTTCTGAGGTAGAAAGAAGAGGACACATTTTAACTCAATTGGATAGATAGTAAGAAGCAGAATTATCATCAAAGTCGATCATTTTTGAATCATAAGATTATTAAATCCAAGGTATATTGTTTTGGGACCATAGGAAAAATTACATAATAGGAATATACAAATACACACTTCATTAAAAAGGCTTTTATTTACCATAATTTAAGTGCATTTTTAGGAGATATTAGATATCCGTCTATGCTGATTAGGATTTTTTGTTTGTTTGTTTCTATGTAATCAAGTATGCATTTGTTTATTTTTGTGCATATACTGCACATAGTCTTTGTCCAAATAAACAATGTATTGTGTATTTTTATTGCTTTTCATGGTTATATTGTGTACTAAGTTCTCATTAATTTAATTCCTATTAATACAGATTTGAGATCATTTAGAAAGAGTTTGGACATTTGATACAGAGGAAAAAAACCTAAGAGGAGTTATACCTTGGAGAGAAAAGTTAAGTGGATTTAAGAAAAGGAAACTTTTGGGACAGCACATTTCCCATCCAACTTGTATACAACAGTATTTGAGTTAGAAATTATTCTTAGTTATTTATCAGATCAGGTCTCATAAGATTTTTATATGGCAATAGTTTTATGTTTTCATTTGAGCTTTTTGTACAATTTCAAAATGAATCATACAAATGTACATTTCATATGAGTGTACCATATAAATACTCTATAATTTACATTTTTTATGGCTCATATAGAACTTCTCTCCACTTAAACTGAACTTCAGGAATTTAACTCCAGGTTAAATAATGGATAACCACTATTTTGTTTTGGTGTGTTTCACAGAGACTTATTTAAGAAATATCTATATTTGCTGTTCCAACAAAGGATTTTAACAGGCATTTATATAAATGAAAAGATTTGAAAACCAGAATTGGTTAATTAGAAAATAAGTATAGAATTGGGTATCTAATTTAGAATGTTTGCAATGTGCTCTAAGCAGTATATTCTTGACCAGTACTGCCCAATAAAACTTTCTGTAATTATGGAAATGTCCCATATTTGCACTGTTCAACATGGTGGACACAAGTCACACGTGGCTATTGAGCTCTAGTAATGTGGATACGGTGATGGAGGAACTTAATTCTTGGGCTTGTTTAATATTAATTAATTTGAGTTCATTAAACTTCATGTGGTGAGTTGTTATCATATTGGAGGATGTACTTCTAGAGTTTCTCTGCATTTGGTACTTGACACAAAATAAAGAAGTGCTTGAATGGCTTCTGGTTGCGAATGTCCATAAACAGTAGTGTCCCCAAAGCACAAGGCCAGGCTCTGACATGTAGCCTTCCCTACGGAGGCTGCATAATGTGTGTTCAGGCTGAAGGGTGGGTACTGCAGCATCTGGAACTTTGGTGCAATTTGTAGATATACAGATGTAAATCAACTCTGGTTTAGCCATAAGTTATCTGAGAATCTTTTGTCTTTGGAAAGCCATGGGACATGAAATTGTTTCTACTAACAAATTTGGTGATGGTGCATGCACTCAAGAGCTTGAATTTCTAGTTCCCTCTCATGCGGTATGACTTCTTGCAGGAAACTAGCAGAAAATGCAGACAGATATGAAGTAGACACCCTACAAACATAGCTCTCTCCATGAAAACAACACTCCAGATTCATATTGGATATCAGGAATGGGCCTAGAAATACTTTTTGTGCCTCTCTTCATATTATTCTTCAATACATATTTATTGAGCAGCGAGTATGTGCAAGGTATAATACTTAGTGTTGGAGACAGAGTGTTGAAAGGAAACTAGATACAGTCTCTGAGTGCATGGTGATTAATTGTATCAGACAATACAATTTTTTCCAATGTTGTCGTCTTCTAAAATTCATTTTTTCTTTCTGATTATGATAAAAATAAAACAAGAGGAAGATACACAAGATAAATAGAAATGCTGAAGAGCACTATTATGTGTGTGCCTTGCGTCTTACTCAATTTATTTCTTTCTGAACAACTTTCATAGATTCACACCTTGGTAGTTGATGAAATCGTTTTTTGGAATGCAGTAGTGGAAGCAGAGAAAACAACTGAAGAGACCTCAGTTTCCCTTTGTAGACCATGAGACTAAGCATCATCATTTAACAGTGAATCTTTACTACATATGCTTAGCAGAGATTCTTTTCTCTCTATAATCCAGAAGAATGCCCTTTAAAATAATTTCTAATTAATATTTTTTTGCTGTTAATGTGATGAGTTTTTAAAAAACCTTTGCCATTTATAATACTGTAAGAAAGAGTGCTACAATCACCATTTGTGAAATGAATTAAATTATTCAATATTCAAGCACCATTGCAAGACTAGAAGGGAAACATTTAGCTACACAGGTGATCTGTAACTCACTGTATTTCAGTTCATTTTGAAAGAATGATTCAGAAATGTGGCAAAGTACTAAGCAAGAACTATTTAGATTTTTTTCTTCTTCTCTACATAGCAACTGCATAATTAAATGTATGATGCAACCTGCATTTTTTGGATGAATTTTCAAATGTGCTACTGATGGAATCATAAGAATGAAAAAGACTAAGAATTAAATTACATGAATGCAACTACAATACTTAGACCACAAAGTAATTTTAGAAATATTTTAATTGGCAATTTCCTGGAGTTTGCTGACAAACACTTAGAAGGTAATTTTTAAAAAAATGAATTCCAAAGCAATGGAAGAAACCATAAAGAAAAAAGTATATTAATACCTAAAAACTAGTTGCATATAAAAAATCATGAACATGATTGAAAGGTGAAGGAGAGTTTACTTTATTCCTTAAAAAATATTATACTATTGATGGGATTGTAAACTAGTTCAACCTCTATGGGAAACAGTATAAACATTTCTCAAAGAAGATAAAACTACCATTTGCCCCAGCAATCCCACTATTAGGGATCTACCCAAAGGAAAATAAATCATTACATGAAAAAAGATACCTGTACTTGTATGTTCATTGCAGTCCTATTCACAATAGCAAAATCATAGAGTCAACCTAAGTGCCCATCTATGATTGACAGAATAAAGAAAACATATACACCATGGAAAACTAAACACCATAAAAAAAGAACAAAATCATGTTCTTTGCAGCAACATGGATGTAGCTAGAGAGATCATCATCCTAACTCAGGAACAGAAAATTGAATACCACATGTTCTCACTGACTTGTAGGAGTTAACTGTCCACAGGTACGGAAATAGTAGACACTGGGGATGCTATCAGGGAGTAGGTTGGGGAGGGAGATTAGGGTTCAGAAGTTATCCATTGGGTACATTGTTCACTATCTGAGGCTACCTGAAACTTAATCCCTACCAGTACACAATATGTCCATGTAAAAAACACTCACTTGTATTCCCTGAATCCAAAATTTAAGAAAAAAAATGTTATATTCTATTGGAGGTTTTAAAACATGGCGCATGGCTCCTTTGTGTCCCCTTCCACTGAATCTAGGAGAGAGAGCTTATGAACCCTTTGACCCGTCGAGCACAGTGGAGGAGGCATTGTGTAACTTCTGTAGCTGAGGCACAAAAGGCCATGAAGCTACTGTCTTCTTTGAGGGATCACCATCTTTTGAAGCTCCAAGTTTCAAGCAGGAGGTCTGACTACTGAGAGGTCACCAAGCAGGAGAGGTCATGTGCAGGTGTTCCTGTTGACAGTGCCAGCAAAGCACAGCCTTTCTCCTATCCCAGCCAGATACTATGTGAGTAATACCATTTGGGGCCCTTCAGATCAGCCAGGATGCCAGGTGAGTAAGCCATGAGAGCAGAAAAAGCCCCCAGACCTACCTGAATCTCTGACTCATAGCATTGTGAGATCAAATAAAATGTTTGTTGTTTTAAGCTGCTAAGTTTTGATGTGGTTTGTTATGCAGTTATGAGAACTGGATTATCCCCTCTTATATGTATAAGATTTTTACAATACAATCTTAAAAATTGATTATAAAAGACACTCTGGTAAAAGCTAATTGCAAAAAAAACTGACAAACGGTCTTATTATCCTTCCTTTATAAAGAGCGCTTACAAATCACCAAGAAGAAAATACTAACACCATATAGGAAAATGGACATTAAATGAACACATAATTCATGAAATAAGAAATAAAAAAGCTAATAATAAAAAAGTCTTCCACATTATTGGTAAGTAAAGGCAATTAAATTACAGTATGGAATTGAAATTTTGGTTATCAAATTGGTGAAGATGAAAATATATTTAGTGTTGACTTGGGTTAAGTGAAAGTGTAAATGGCAAAAACTTTCTGGAAAGTAAGTGGATATTATATACCCAGAGTTTAAAAAGTATCCACATTCTTTGATGCTTCTAGGAACCTAGGAATTCAGGTAATGAACTAACCAGAAATAAAGTAAAATAATATAGAAAATGTAGTTACAATTCTACTTATAGGAGAAAAAGTATAGAAATAAGCTAAATATCAATCAATACAGTTCAACAAATGATAAATGTTTTATATCACAGAATGTTGTGTTACTATTTATAATGACCCATAGCAGAGCAGAAAAAATGTGAAGTTTTACAGGCATGTAGACTGAACTTTGAATCCTGGATTTGCCATTTATTTTTGCTGGATGTTTGCCAAGTTGATTTACCTCTCCGGTTTTTCATTTAAGAGAAATGGTCTAAGACCTATCCTGTTGAATGTAGTGCTAATTAAATGAATTTATGTATTTGTGAATAAAGTACATAATAGTTTTATATTTATGTATTTATAAATAATAAGCACAATAGTTTCCCGATGAGTGTTGCCTCTTTTCTTACAACTCAAGGACACCATCTGACCTTTATATCCAAATTAACACCACTTTCCACATTCACTAAAAGTTATTTCACACTGGCTCCCTTCCTACCAGAGTCTAGTTTCTACACCATAAGTCAGAGAGATCTTGAAAACAGAAGCAAACATGAATGAGTCCAGCGACTTGCTTGTATCCCTCCAATGTTTCCAAATGTATCAA